TAGGTATATTTATATATATAAAAATGTCTCATAATTTGTGCAAAAGGCTGTACATCTATTAGTTTAGCAAGAAGCAGTCGTAACTGCTACTTTTATCTAATATATATAAGTGAATATTACTAAGGCCAAGAAGTCCTCTTCTTCAGCTCTTTACATTTTATCATTATTACTATTATTATAAGGATTATTATTAATATATGGATAAGAATAACATAGGATTCACTTTAAGTACTAAATGTTAAAAATAAAAACCTTTGAATCGTTGTCATTTGTTCTTCATTATTTTCTATCGTTTTACCCTTTAGTTTTTTTAGTTTATTTTTCGTTTCGCAGTTTACATTTCCTTTTCAGAACGTCCATTTTCTCTTTCTTCCTTTTTAGTTTTTCATTATCACTGTCTTTGTTCTATTTCCACATAATGCTTCAAAAAAGAAGTACAAGTTGTTTATTTGCATGAATTTATCTAGAATCGATCAAAATGGATTTGACGAATTCTTTGTTTCCTCAAAAGTAGTTTCRGTTCTTTCTATTTTTGATCYCTTAGTCGTGACGAGACTGTTTAACACACACCTGTATCCATTGCTGATCATAAGACATTAATTATAGAGATGCGTTGGTGTTCCATAGAATGTAAATAGTCTAATGAAATTAGGGATGTCGTGCACAAGATGTCAAATTAATCGATCAGACAAGCTACCGGTTTAAGCAATAATTACCATTTTAACAGTTCTACTGCTGTACGTATAGTTATAAAGACACCACGAAAACAACCAACTTAGAGCGATTACTATCATTGTCTCTATTTCGCGGATTGGGAGATTTTCTCTGGCCGATGCCCAAAATGGTCTCTCTCGTTTGTCCCTTTAGTTTTTTTAGTTTATTTCTTCGTTTCTTATTTTACATTTCCTTTTCAGAATTTTTATTTTCTCTTTCTTCCTTTTTAGTTTTTCACTGTCACCGTCTTTGTTCAATTTCAAATATTTTTTCCAAAAAGAAGTACAATGTTTAACATGCACTCGAATTGTTTATTTGCACGAAGTCGTCTAGAAAATCAACATCGATTTGACGAATTGAGAACCCACCATTGTCAGCTGGAAAGTGACATTTACTACTAACATTTTTAACATTGACGAACAATTCATCAAGTTTTCGACTACACATCAGTAATGAATATTAAAGACAGCGCACAGATAATTCAGTTATGGATAATGTCAACCAAGTTGTTTCAAATATAGTTGCTTCAATTTTACTGTTCAAATAACCCACGAAACTAGAATATTTCTTCATCGAAACTGGCTTTTATATCTCTAACTTTTAAATCATTACATTCAAGAGAACTTTTTTCCAATACCGCGCGTCGACATCTTGAATTCAGTTATATTCTTGTGCTTCCCTTGTCAAATCATGAAAGATTCCTAATCATTCTATTCAGGGAACCTTTTCCCCGATTCAGTCGTCGTCAGTTAATTATCTCTAATTATTCTGTAAGTTTTGTCACGAGACTTGTCCACATCCTCGTGTTTATCACAAGTAGGCCAAAAGACGTCACATATAGTCAGATGATTACCCAGATGTCTTTTCACTCTCAGGACTCGCGGTTCCACGCTACGTCATCGCCGCCATGTTGGATGACAATAACAAAGCACTCCTCGTTATCCCTCATTAGTTTCGCTTGTCCATTCATCCAACATGGCGGCGATAGCTTTGTTCTTTAGAAGTAAAATTGCCGAATCTGTACGAGCAACAAATTAACGGCAAAATCGGATATTTTTGATAAATTCATTAGCTTCATATAACACAAGCCAAGTATCTTCTATATCAAAGGAATATTTTCGCTTGTCCGACGTAGCAACAGTAACTAGGGAGGTAGGACAATGAATGGCGGGATAGACAAGAATAGACAAAGTGCTCTTTCGCATGGACTCTCCTCTGCCACACAACAACACAGTACAGTTACAAGACGGTGGAATTCTACATTTGTTTTAATAGATAGAACTTTTCCTATATATTCTTAAATTGCCCAGGTATTTTTAATAATCTAAAATGTAAAATAAAGTCCTTTTGATACCGTTGACAATTTGTAGCATTTTGACGATTAGCTTTCCTCCATGGTTGCTTTGGGCGATAAAATGATTTGATAAACAAGTTGTTTATCTGACATGAGATTTCTTAGCTTTCACAAGATATTGGAACTGTTGAGGCCGTCAATGCATGGCAATTCTGCACGCTTTTCTCGTGCTCGCAATAAAATTTCATCTTTTTCAGTACTTGATACAATACGTTGCTCGCTGCATCGTCGACCACCATGACCACAACGCTGTCTTCAGGATAACACGGCTTTGATAGACGGTTTTTGCGTCCTGAATTCAGTGCATTGAGCTCCTTCATTAACTGCAACCGTGTGAACGTAGCCTTGGAACCTTCATGACCGCTGCACTTGTTTCTTACGTCCTCACCTAACTTGTCGCAAGGCATTGTTTCTGTTTGATGCTCAATCTTTTCTCGTTTTTCATGATCTATTTTTCTGTTGAGCGACAAGTTACTACTGCATGGTGTAAAACGAAAAACATCAACTCCGTTTCTGTATCTGGTATTTCTAAGCGGTAAGAGAAACAAAGACGATCAAACTCTCCAACCACAGAAAACAGATATATACAAAGGAGAGCTCATGCATTCATAATATTTTGATCAGAGAAATATTTGACGGGTTAAAAGAGCAGAATCCTCCGTTCAACAGTCTTCCGACACATTGGACATTCTTGCATCCTGTCTCCACATAGTTGACAAGTTCCATGACCGCACAGGAATATCAGGTTTTTCCGTCTATCCATACATACTGGGCACATTGTCTGTGGAAAAATAAAATATTTTGGATTTTTAGATTATATGTGTATACACCTATTTCAATAAACTTTGTCGGGGTCAGAGTGGAATGGCAACGACGATTGTCGAAGGAATAGTGCATGACCGAAAGGTACTATGGTTACACTCTTTGACATGCAAAAATTCACTTGGGTTCGCCCTGGGGGAAATTGTAGACTACATGGAGTTAATGGTTATCACAGACTATCTTACAGTATAAATTAGTTATTATTTCCCCTCAATTAGAACACATGGATTTTTTGGTGCGTCCAATCTTCGTTCGACAATTGCCTTTTGTCATTTTATCGAACAACCTTGTTTGAAATACGTAAATACAGTCAATCCGTTGTTCACTTGTAATGACATAAACAAAACAATAARAACATTTGCATAAAATGCTTTTTTTTCGATTTCCGCAAAGGATTTTAACTCTGGATCATGCCTGTAGGTTAAATTTTATTTACAATGTCATAATGTTTGAAACCTGAAGTTGAATAATTTTGCAAATCAAGCTGCCAATGKCAACATAACTCGGAGATTGTAAGAGCTGCTTTTGCAAGATGGTCAGCTGTATTTTGAGCATTTTATTAACACATTAGATAAGTTATTTACAAAAACATGTAAATAGGTGATCATAAAAAATCAGAACAATAAGATCAGAACAATATTGGGAAAAATGGAATTCAACCGCCCCAATTCAACATTTAAATTGGATTAAAAAAATAGTATTAACTAACAAGATAAGTTATTAGTGAAAAATTTGAGTAGCTAATGCCTTCATGTATTGAAAGAACAAGTGAATTGGTATATCATAACTTTGTTTTGAGCTCCTTTGTTGAAGTATGAAATCCACATTGTTCTTTTGATTATTCTTTATGCTCTTGATTTGCAGTTTTGCAGAATTATTCCAGTGCTTTTCTTCCAATCACTGTTAAGCGGATTAAGGTTTATTGATAAAAATATAAGCTTATTAGTTCAGAGAGACATCGAAATTTATAAAAGGAAAAGCTTCAGCTTAGTTACATGTAAATTAACAACGGCGACATAAAGTTCGAAGTGTCTGTCTCAACTTACATGCCCGGCTGCCGTGTAAATAGTGGAAGTCAAAATGTCCGTTTGCGAAAAAAAAATACAGAATTACTGAACAAAAGTCCTTGGTTAGCTCTAGCTTAGGTTTAGGGTAAGGTTTGGGTTGGGTTTAGCGATGAAATTAATGATTTAGTCTCGGTACGTAAGCTAATTATTTGAAAACAATGAATACTCACGGGCAGGTTGACACAGCCTAAAAAGTTTGATTTGTAATTCATATGATAAACTTAAGATTTAAGTATGTCATTGCTAAGCTTTGTACATTATTATCTTACCTTGAAGTCTAAAGCGGAATAGAAACTGTCCATTTGCATTGCTTGAAGTTTAATTATAAGGCCGTGAAAGCTACTTTTAGAAGAGACGCCATGTTAACACGTATTCGAAGCGAAAACCCAGTCAAAACTTATTGCAATCGGTACAATTCTACGTCAAACAAYATAATTTTTACAATTTTTTCTCCTCTTGAGTTAGTGCGATGGGTCAGTTGTTTTCGGCAAATATCGATTGAATCCACAGCATATAACACAGGAAACCCATCATGGTGAACCTTATTTTATTTTAATACCGATCGCAAAAATTAAAAGATTTTCTTAAAAACAAAACTTTATGCAGAAACATGTTTGTTATTATTAGAAAAATGAGAAAAAGAAAAGAGAATCTCCAAAACATCAAAAAGAAAAAAAGAAAAAAAATGTCCTGTCTCAAGCCGGACTCGAACAGCGGTGCTCCCTATAAAACTACTAAAACACGCCAAGTTTCTTCAAAGTGTCACCGTGGCACAATCGGTTAAGGCGCTTGGCGTACTATTCAGAGGTCGCGGGTTCGAAACCTGGTGGGAACATGAAATTTATTTCGCATCCAAAAATATTATAGAAGTTACTATAGTAACCAAATTAAGTGAATATATAAATATTATAACTAATAATTAATCGAAAAGCACAGGGAGACCAACTAGAGGAAGTAAGTAGAATAACATTAATATAATTAATATGATTAAATAAATAACCGCTGACAAAAAACATCGCAGGCTCAAGTTTACAGGAAAGTGATCGAGCGAGCGAGTGACAGCTGGTCCCATCCCAACAACTCTACGATTGCTGACGCAATCTCCGAGTTAAAAATACAAATACGATATATGAAAATGACTTGCTTGTTGTCTTTRCGTCTGAACAACGTTACTGGGATTGCCTGTATGTGGAACCGGCGTGGAGGCATTTACCCGAGTAACAAATGCAGTTACCCAAAACAAAAACAATTGATGTTTAGGCTTTGAATCATTTGCGGAAACTGAAATACTGGATAGCACTTAGAATACTAAATGAAATGGAAAGTTGAACTGCTAGGAAAGATATAGGAAGAAAGGAATCGATATCTGGCCGAGGGAACGGATAAAACGATATCAAGTATGCAAAGCTGTCTGGAATACTGACGCCAAGATGGTATAACAATAATAGCCTCAAGGCCCGGGGAACATTTTACTTCTTCCTTCCCTCCCTCGAGTCTGTAGGCGAAAGCTTCAATAATAAAAACTCCATACCTGTTCTTTCATATCTTGTAACTGYTGTTGCAGTTGGGACAGTTCCTGGGTAGTTATCTCTTGTTTATTCGAACACTTTTCCGCCAAAGGAGGTGGAGCTARGGAAATAAAGCAGTTGTGAATAAAGATAACAAAAATTACACTAACGCAACAAATAGCAGTAGAATTGTTAAGGGGGCAGTCTAGTTAGTAATAAGGTGTTGAATAAAAAAACAAAACAAAGGAATTTCAAGTGCAAAGTAATAAAGAGTAATAAACTGTAGAACGCTAAAGTGCATTTGCTGTTAACGAAACTGAAATGTTAGGGACAAGTCGCTTTTGTTGGACCTTAGAAGTAATACTGTAGGTGGCGAAAATCCACATAATTCATGAATAATACGTTATAAGGGTGAATCCCTGAACGACCTGAGTCCGGAATCGTAATCGTAATATCGTATCGTATCGTAATATATCACAATCTATCGCACTGACGGAAATTCAAACGTTACTATCATCGTTCGATAACTAAAGTTAGYAAAGTATGTGACATAAAAATCAATAAGTACTAAATTAACATTAGAAATTAGCCAAGAAATAAAGTGCAAAAGATGCTAATCCCAAACCTTTTCCTCCACAACAAACAATAAAAGGCACAATTTCTGTGATGTCTTCACGGCATTGGATACATTTTTTCATCAGTAAACCACAAACTGAAAAGCAGATGTCAACCGTTAATAACAAATAATTAAGATAAGACACTTAGAGGATGATGATGATGATGGTGATGAATACACTAAGCATGATAACGATAAAAATAATATTACGAATAATTCCTGATTTGATAGCTTAATCAAGAATGGTAAACTAAGACAATACCATTTACATAATATTCGATATATTTTTGCGTTCGTTTATTGCTTGAAGACCGTATGTCATTTATAAATCAATAAATYRATWAATTATAAAGTACACACACAGAGATGACGCTATTCAATCATCTCACGCTCGTTCTGATTGGTTAGAACTAGTCCGCGCGCATTTTTCTTTCAGCAGTTTCAACAKTACACGAGCTCGGAAAAATTTTAATAWTTTWATTTTTCCGTGAGTCTGTGCTCGAATACATGAACAGAGGATGTCAAAATCTGATGAGGGAACAGCCATACCACTCTACTTCGTCTCGTGACGTTTTTTGTTCTCATATTTGACGTCATTTGTGCACGGAATCTATTTATCAAATAGAATATAAWATCTCCATACCTTCACAAGCTGATATATGTCCACATGGTTTAAATAGAAGATTAGCTTTCTTTTCTGAACAAACCATGCATTCATCGATCTAGAATAATAATACACAAGTTAACAGGGCGGTCTGAATTGAGCTAGAGAATTGAATCAAAGATAACAAAGCGAACAAAGCATAAACTGCTAAACGAAGAGCAATGTTTCAAATGGGAAGACAGAGCAGTTTGTAAATTGTTCTTTTATATTTTTTTTCCGTATTCTAGCTAAGGCAAAATAGCAATGTCATTTTCGCAATGCATTTTCGCCCGTTCTCCGACGTCCCTGTTCAAAACAATTCATTGATATGTATCTTGGTAGTCAAAAACCGCTTGTTTCTCRTATTGCTTTAGTCAGAGACAAAATGAAGTGACGTCATTCTGAACGAAAGACAGAGAGTAGTCTGGTGACGAGTCTATGTATTCGCACCAATAATATACAATGTTTTCAAACGCAGAGGTTGATGAAGTAAGATGTTTCCTATGTGCATTCTTTCTATTATTAAGACTAAATCGTTTACCTTGGTTCGTGATTGTACGGGTTCCTTGCATAGAAGACACTTCTTAACACGAGGAGARCATAACGAGCATGTTGTGACGTGGAAGCACGGCCCAAACAACGTGTCACGTTTGTTGTCAGAGCACACCATGCATTCCTGCAGAGCTTCTTCGCTCACATCGGATTGGGAGATGCTGAGCTGATTCTTGGGGACACTGCAATACGTAGAATGAATGAAATGAAATTACCAACATACCCTTGAGCTCCAGGGTGTGTGGGAAATGGCGCACAACCACAACGGACGCAAAACATGCGTTCAATAAAACTCATTGTGGTTCAATAAATACATGAAGAATAAACAGATACAAGAATTGCCACTATAATAATAGTTACGAATGCCACTAGTAGCCAAGGCCATAATTTCACCACTCGAGCTTCTCGTTAACATGTRCGTTGTCTGTTCAATAAATACAGTGCACAGCCGTAGAATAACACTTACCCTTTTTCTTTACGGCACTTRGCCAACGCCTTACACAGGTTGGGATCTGGGCACAAGTCAAGAGGAGTCTGACCTTTGCTGTTCTTGATTGACAAGTCTGCTCCATTTGCAGCAAGAAACAACGCTATCGACGCACTGCTCTTTTTGTCAGTTCCTTGGGTACCAAGTCCCATTAGTAACTAGAGATTGGACAAAAGAGACCAACATTAGCTTGAAGAACAATCCAAGAACTGAGTAAAATTCATTTCAAATTTTTGTTTGAGTACCTTGCCAACATCTTGCATGTCTTGAAGYTGTCTTAGCTGAGACAAAGTGTGATGTCGAAGAGCTTCGTGAAGGGGAGTGTCGCCATCCTTGTCGGGAATGTCAAGTTTACAGCCCTCTCTGACAAGTAGCTTAGGATAGAAAATCGAAAATGCATTATCTGATGTTTTTATTCTATTGATACTAATGTGCAAATAATAGCAGAAATACTGGAAATAATAGAATTACAATAAATATTTTGATATATGAATTCTATTAGAGCTATAAGAGAAAATAAG